ACGCGCGCGAGCACGCGCTCAATGCGCCCCGCACGCGCGATTGCCGCCCGGAACGCAGGGGGCGGGGCGAGCAATGACGACAATTTTCAAACCGCTTGCTGAGTTCATGTTGCAACTAGGAATATATCAAATTTTCGTATAATTTCTTTAAAATAATAAACATTAAAATTCATCGAAAATAATTACATAATAAAACGTGCTACGTTAAATTTGCACGTGTTTTGTGATAATTAGTTTCTAAATAGGGACGGTCTTGAAGTAAATTAGATTAAGCTCAGACTTATTCATTGAAGTGGTTCATTAAAGCGATTTTCATGAAATTATCAGATATCAACAAAACAAGGAAATTAATTTTCAGGAGTGATCTTAGAATTCTACACAGTCGTGTAACCTAGTCGTTGGTGTTGATAAACTGGCATGTGAAGGATTGTTATATACATTTGTTGTGCTTCTCTGATATGTTGATGTATACACCTAAAATGTTTGTGCAGTATCGTTGTTTTATTACGCTTATGAATAATATTTGACGCTTTATTGTTCACGGTTTTTCGTTACTTTCCAAATTAATTGAGAATATTTTTGTTCGAATTCTGAACTAGGTAGCTCAATGTTTTGCAGTTTACATTTTGCTGCTTTGTTCGGGGAGGCGAGCTCTGTCCAATTTAACGCAACATTAAAGAGAAACTGGATGTGAATCACGTTAATTTAACGAATGCTATAGTCGAACCAATAGAATTCTATTAGTATCTGTTCCAATTTGTTTTTCGCTCGGGAACGATTTTCGTATGTTTCGGACTCGGTGGAACCTGAATCAATTTGCGACCAAATGGGCCAAATTTAAGCTGGTTTCTCCATAACAAAACACAAACATGGTTTGTTGGAAGTCTAATATGTTCAGAGCTATGCTTTTGAGGTAAAGCATTTTAGTTTTTGGCTCGAAATGTATGATCGGAAACGAAAAATAAATGCTGTTCAGCATTTAAGAGTTCTGCTTCCTCGACAACTACAAAAAATAAAATCTTAATTTCAATGCAATCATACATTTTTAAAGGAAACACACTATTAAGTAGGTCAGTTTAGTTTTGCAAGTGAATGGAATAAATTTTGTAGCTAAATCAAATGGGTTCTTCTTGTTTAATTTTTTTCTTCAGCCACAAGTTAAACAACAATTAAATTCCATATTTCTTCTTTTTATGATTTGTTGATATTTATCTTGTACATACGTTATTTATATTTTCAAGGCTTCTACTTTACAATGAACAAGGCAAGCGTTAGAAGGGAAAAGAACAGGCCATAGGGAGGTGTACTTTTCCGTAATTAAAGATTCCATCGCCACCGGTCACATGTCTGCAGAAGACTCGTAAGAACATTCATTAAGAGAACGTGTGTTGTGGTTCTTAAGTGTGTTGTGGGAAATTATTGTTATCTCTTTAATCCCGAGCTCAGTAAATATTTTGCATTTTTATTCTCAATTTTGGATACACACGTTTAATTTTTTGACTTCTAATTGTGCTTTTGGGTATATATTAAATTGTTAACACACAAGATATATTTAGCTTTCTCTACTTCCTTCAGGAGGTGCATTGTAACATGATGGATCAGTGTTTTATTTCGTTGAATGTAAATATGCCGCATTATTTTAGAAAATGTAATGGCTAAGCAGAAATTTGTTTAAAACAAAGCGTCGGTGATAATGAACACGGGAATACAATTAAATATAATAACATACGTGTTCATTCTGTTGGTAATTTCACAATCGTTAAAGGTTGAACTTGTTTTATTTTATTCCTCGGTACGTTTATTTTCAGAAGATTCTTGTAGGTTAAAATATGTGTACTTCCTCTTAGTAATTTGTACAGAAGCTCTACTTACGTAGTCGCTTTGGTAAACAAAAAACATCAATTATGAGTGACCCCTAAAGTGTACTCGGGCGAACAAACTGCTGTCATTGCGTTGAACCTACGAAAACACGTGTAAAGATACACGCTTTTCTTTTGTATTGAGTATTTTTTGTCGCTTAGCGAACACGAAATGACGTACGGTTGCATACGTTGACATGATGATAAATGTAATTCATAATCCATTTACCATAAGCTTGTACATTTCTCACGGAATAGCTCCTCTTGCTGGGCGGAGGGGCACTCATTCGCGACACTGCCGGCAGGGTGCGTACGGCCAATTACACAATTACCACCGCTAAGGGGATGCGGTTTCCGCCTCTTTCGTACCAGCCCCTGCTGCACACGAAGGTGAATAGACACTGAGTACTTACTTGCGATTTGCAGTGCGAACATGACGGCGAAGCCGGCCACGATGGCGGTGAGCTGCCAGATGCCGGCCTGCGTGTTGGCGCGCTCCCGCTGCAGCACCTCGAAGAACACGACGTAGAGGAGCGTGCCGGCGGCCATGCCCTGCAGCACGACCGTCGCCACGTTCTGCGACGCCTCCGCCTCGGCGCCGCTCAGCGCGATGCCCACGCCGATGCCCAGGGGCGTCACCGCCGCGAACGTCGCCACGTACACCAACAGCAGCGCCAGCCGCGTGCGCGACCCCACCAGCTCCACGCCCACGCAGAAGGCGATCACCAGCTTGTGCGTGGCGATGGCGGCGAACAGGTACCACACGTTGGACACGCTCGTCTCCAGCCCCACCGCCAGGCCCTCGAACACGGCGTGGAACGACAGCGCCAGCACGGCGAGCAGGCCGCGGAAGGACTTGGCCACGGTGGAGCTGCTGGTGG